CCACATCATACCATATGGTATTAAACTAAAACAAAACAGGACTTGTGCATTACTACATTTTGTAACATTAAACCATAGATTTATCTAATTTTACCATATCTTACCATATTTTACCATATAGTAACAAACTAGATCACTACAGTAACATCATATAACAGTAGAAGTTTTAAGATGATGACTTATCTCTTGACAAATTTCTTGTTTTTGCATCTTATGTACTCCAGGATGTTGCTGAACATATCATCAGGTATTGTTTGTGTTGGTGTTGACCATTCAACTGGTGATCTTTGTGATTGTGGAGCAACTGGTTCAACAGTTGGAGAATTTAGGTCCTCTAGGTAAGCATCTATGCATTCACGCACTTCCTTGAGCTTCTCTTGGCTGTTTGTGTACAGATTTGCCCATATAGCATATGACTCCTTCTGTGACTGGGTGCTTTGTGGCTGTGCTGGTGGTGGTGTTCCTCTTGCCTTCTTTTCGTTTCCGTGCACATTCTTCACCACGATTCTTCTTTTGCGAGGCTCTCCTGGTTGATCAGTTGCCGTGGTGGTAATCAACTTCGTTGGTGTTGTTGGTGTTTGATGGTTGAGAGGGCTGAGATCGAAGGATGGAATGTCGTCTTCCCTTGTCACTTTAGGCTTCTCAGCAGCTTTGGTTGTCAGTTTTGGAGCCTCTTCTCGAACAACATCATCTGACACCGTTTTCTCGCTGTCAGTTTCTGCAGTCTTTTGTGCAGCTTGCCCTGTATTCCCTTCTTCTGTTGTTTCCTTATCAACATCCATTGGATCTGCTGTTTTGGTAGCTCCTTTTTCTTCTGTTTCTTTTGCAGATGTCTGTTCTGGAACTGCTTTCGGGGTGTTTCCTTGTTGTGGTGTTCCCTGATTCAGACCTTCTTGAACAGATTGTGCTGGTGGTTCTGTTGCAACTTCCCCCAGTGGATCTCCTTCTTGGATGCTTTCCCTATTCACAGCTCCTGGAGCAGAATCATCTTGCTCCTTTTCTTTTGCCTTCGGTGTAGATGCAGCAAGATCGACTGTAGATGGTTGTGAATCATCTTCTTTCTGTGTTTGCTCCTCGTTCTCCTCTTTGTTCTGGTCTATCTTTGCCTGTTTGAATATTTCATTGAGTGTTTTATCCAAACTGGCATTCATTTCTTCATCATTCTCTTCTTCATCATCTTCACACTGAGATTTTTCTCCTTCTGTGGGCTGAACATGTTCATCACAGCTTTCTTTCGCAAGATTCTCCTTGTGTCTGATCAGATTGTCAATTTGGCTTTTGTACTGGTCTTTGATTACTTTCATCATTGCCTTCATTGATGCTTCAAGCAGTTTGATTGCATTCTCAACCTGCATAATGGGAGTTTTTGTAAGATACCATGGTGGTAATGTGTGTATGGTGTATGGTTAGTTACCATGGTGGTAATACATGGTATTGGCAATTATTATCACTATTCTGCATTTTTATAACATGAAACCATATCTTACCACACCTTACCATATGGTAACAAAGTAAAACAGAACAAGAATTATGGTTTCCACCATTTTTATAACATGAAATCATAGCTTACCACACCTTACCATATGGTAACGAAGTAAAACACAACATGACTTATGTTTTCCTCCATTTTTATAACATGAAACCATAGCTTACCACACATTACTATATGGTAACAAGCTAAAACACAACAGGACTTATGGTTTCCTCCATTTTTATAACATGAAACCATATCTTACCACACCTTACCATATGGTAACAAACTAAAAACACAGAAGGACTTACGGTTAGCATGAATTGGACAACTGTAATATAGATAATTTGTACTTACTTGGTTGACTGTTCTGATATTCTTCAAATCAAAGTTCAGTGATGATGACTGGTCTGGACTTTTGTTTCTTTGTCTTTTCGGTGACTGATAGACCGGCTCATTCTCCTCTTCCTCATCAGTTGCATCATCAGCGTCATTGTCACTAATGTTGACAACCTTTTCGATCTCGTTCAACTCTTTTCCATTGTAGTAGCTCTTAATGTTCTCAAAGTTGCTTTCGACATTGAGATCATCATAGTAGCTTACTGTTGGTGTTCGAAGCTGGGTTGAGAATGCCATTTCGTCCAGTTTGTACATGAAGCATACCTTTTTATGCAGATAGTTGTATTAGTTTTTTCAAAGAGTATCATTTATATATAAAATATATGAGTAACAAGGTTGAAATGGCCAAGGGAATGGAGACTTACTGTTAGGAAGTGAAGATCTGCACTGACGTAGAGGGTTGGTGATTTCAATCCTTCATTCATGTGTTTGAAGAAGTATTTGCACCAGTTGTAGCTGGTGAAATGTTTCAGTTCATCAGTCTTCAAGTACTCAAGCATGTTGAGTTCAGCCATAGGGGCTGAAGTTGGACACAGCAAGCCTCCGGTGACCAGCAGAAAGAACAATTGTAATCATCTCTTACTGTTTGTAGTTGTAGGAAGATCTTTTTCTACCTGACTTAGCTTTACCTTTGGAGTGGATGTTCCATCTACTTCCAGTAGGGTTTCTATTGCATAATCTACTGCGTCGTCCCAAGAAATCATGGGAGGTACAACTTCCATATTCCCCATCGGCGCCGATGGGGAATATGATAGTTGTATTAGTTTTTTCAAGACCATATACCCTATGAAAGTCGATTGGTGATATCTTCATGCGTGTCCCGTCAGGTAGCTTGAACGATTCTTTCATTGGATTGTATTTGTTCATTACGAACAGTGCAAAATGGTTGTTTATCTTTGTCTGCTTGATTGATATTAAGCCTGCTAGGCCTAATATCTCAAGTTGCGCTTTCTGCTCATCTTTTATTGTCCTTGCAATTGCAGATACTCTTGTTGGGCTGCACCTTTTGCGAAAACTTTTTCTTTGGTTTACCATAGTGTACCTGAATGTAGAAATTAGGAATAGTCTGTTAGCATGCTTTTTACCATAATATACCATATGGTACCATAATGGTTTCCTACCATACCAAATCAAACCATATATTTATCACATTTTACCATATGGTAATTACATGAAACCATGTCTTATAACATCTTACCATATGGTAACAAAGTAAAACACAACAGGACTTATGGTTTCCACCATTTTTATAACATGAAACCATATCTTACCACACTTTACCATATGGTAACAAACTAAAACACAGAAGGACTTATGGTTTTTTGCTATTTTAAAACATGAAACTATATCTTACCACACCTTACCATATGGTAACAAACTAAAACACAGGAGGAGTTAAGGTTTTTTTGCTATTTTACAACATGAAACCATAGCTTACCACACATTACCATATGGTAACAAACTAAAACACGGAAGGACTTATGGTTTTTTGCTATTTTATAACATGAAACCATATCTTACCACACCTTACCATATGGTAACAAACTAAAACACAGAAGGACTTATGGTTTTTTGCTATTTTAAAACATGAAACTATAGCTTACCACACCTTACCATATGGTAACAAACTAAAACACAGGAGGAGTTATGGTTTTTTTGCTATTTTACAACATGAAACCATAGCTTACCACACATTACCATATGGTAACAAACTAAAACACGGAAGGACTTATGGTTTTTTGCTATTTTATAACATGAAACCATATCTTACCACACCTTACCATATGGTAACAAACTAAAACACAGAAGGACTTATGGTTTTTTGCTATTTTACAACATGAAACCATAGCTTACCACACATTACCATATGGTAACAAACTAAAACACAGCAGGAGTTATGGTTTTTTGCTATTTTACAACATGAAACCATAGCTTACCACACATTACCATATGGTAACAAACTAAAACACAGAAGGACTTATGGTTTTTTGCTATTTTACAACATGAAACCATAGCTTACCACACATTACCATATGGTAACAAACTAAACCACAGCAGGAGTTATGGTTTTTTGCTATTTTACAACATGAAACCATAGCTTACCACACATTACCATATGATAACAAACTAAAACACAGCAGGACTTATGGTTTTTTGCTATTTTACAACATTCAATCATAGCTTACCACACATTACCATATGGTAACAAACTAAAACACAGCAGGACTTATGGTTTTTTGCTATTTTACAACATGCAATCATAGCTTACCACACATTACCATATGGTAACAAAGCAAAACACAACAGTTTCTACACCAGTTCAGCAACGCATGGTAACAATTCGGTAATTTAGCGAGTTTACTACAATTTTCACATGAAGAGTGACTGAAATACTGTTTCTAATGTTCTGTGGATGGATTTCGAAGAAAGAAATGAGATTTTACCTTAATATTTTGTGCGAAAACGATTTTTGAGCCTCGTTGAAGTTGGAAACCCTTCGTTTTTCGACGAAGAAGCGAGAACAGTGTATCGTTGAATGATTCTTCGAAAACCTTTGCGAAAATCGTTCGATTTGAAGTTTATTTCATGTTTTTTTCTAGAAGTTTTTGCTGCGATTTTGGTGAGAGAATTGAGGATCGGGAGGAAGAATGGAGAGTTAGAGAGCAGAGGGAAGTGGAACCGTCGCTTGAAAGGTGAGAGAAAGAAGGAGAGAAGGCGGGACGGTTGTCGTTGTCACGTCTGCAATTCAAATTGTCAGAGACGTGATTACTATTTTGCCCCCGCGTGTAGTTAATTTGCATGATCTAACGGCTGGAAAGATGGTGCGATGGACGGTTACTGACAGGTACTGAAGGATCGGTTACTGAGGTGATCCGGACCCACTATTGACTACACATTTCATGAAAGGATTAGAAAGCTCAAACCTTTCACAATGATTAAAGCAACTGAATCATCTCATCTCTTCGTCTTCTTCCTTCCTTCTTCCCTAACTTTTTTCCCCAAACAGAATATGAAATTCCCACCCGCCACGTGCTCACAAGTGACGACCAAAACAACCTGAATTCCTGTCCTTGTCGTTACATCTTTTGTTTTCATTTTCAATTAAATTCCTCTAAACAACCTTGCTTGAGGATATATTACATAAATGATTCCCCACTTTACCAAATCCCAACACTCTCTAGTCATTCGATTCAATAGACCCATATGCCGCCGGCGACCCAAAATGGCTCCTCCGCCTCCTCCTCCGGCCGACTCCAGCTCTCCGAGAAGTTCCCCTCGACCAGATCCTTCGCCGACTCGCCCGAGCTCGCCGCCGTCCGGGTCAGCCTCGACCTCGTTTCCGCCGCTCGGCGGAACATTGGGTTCCTGAGGAATGTCAGTGAGTCGCTCTGGCTTCACGAGCCCGGTTGTCTCGCTGAAGCAGTAAGAAGGTGGGTTTCATAGACGAAAAGAAACGATAAAGATCGAAGCTTTAACTCTTTCTGACCCTGTTCTTTTGGGTGAAGGTACGATGAGCTATGGATGCCGTTGGTTTCTGATTTGATGATCAACAATGTGGGGTCAACGGTTCCGATGATTCTTCCTCCTTTTGATGTCGAGTGGGTCTGGTTCTCCCACTGTTTGAATCCGGTACGTTGGAAAAAAGATCGAATCTTTTACTTCTCTTTTTACTGTCTGGAAATCGCCATTTGCTCTGTTTTCTGGTAGATGAATTTTGTTGCTTGGTTCCTGGGGAAGTTCTACAACTTGTTTGGCGATGGATGGTTGTGATAAAATGAAGAAAGATGGTAGCTTTCTGCAGTTTTGACTAGTCAAGTTTCTTGTTTGGTTCCTAGAAAACGGATTTTGTTTCCTTGGTTGGAGCTGGGGAAGTGTGGGTAAAGTGGAAGAAGATATTGTTTCCTTTCTAAACTTCTCATCAGCCAAACTTACTTGTTTGGTTCCTGGGGAAAGTTTAGCCAGCTGAAAACTGCAACCCCCGCATTTTCTTGTCATCGTTTGGTGATAAAAAAGCGAATTTCTGCACTTCTAATCAGTAAAGTTCCGCTGTTTGGTTCCCCGGGATAGTTGTATTTTCCTTCTTCACCCCAATCCCTAAAGTTTTCCTCTCCTTTTCTCTTCCCCAGGAAAACTACAGGCAATACTGCGAGCAACGATTCTCGAAGCTAATCGGGAAGCCAACGATCCTCAACTCAGAAAACGAAGAGTACGCTGTAACGAGATGCAAGAAGCTCTGGCTTCAAAAATACCCAAACGAGCCATTCGAGAACGAGTCAACCACCGAGTCACAAGACTCGGCTGTGGTTACAAATCATCAAGATCTGTTGATGAAGGAGGTAGAGAAGAACAGAGACATCTACACGAAGTTCTCGTGGCCGTACATGTCGGAAATCGTCTACTTGATTGCGGCCAAACAGAGGTACAAAGGATTCCTGTTCCTGTTGCAGAGCGGTTTCATGGACGGATGTCGTTTCAAGTTTGTTCCTTGCTTGGATATCTTGCTTATGTGGATCACACACCAGGTAATAATTTTTTCTTTTGGTTTTTTATTTAATGATTCGTTTGTTGCTTTGCGTGCTTGATTGGTGTTAGCTGTTATTGTTCTTTTGGGGAAAACTTTCCAACTCCACAATGCTTGCTTTTCTCTCACATTTCAGTTCTTTTGAATCAATCATTCTCCCACTATCGTTAGTGGTCATCTTACTCCTATCAGAAAAGCATATATAGAATGTGTGTATATTAGTTAGTTTTAAAATGGCTAGTGTTTGATGATGAGATTTGTAACAAACAACAAGATACTATCTTTATGTCTTAAACTTTTTGTTAGTTAGTTTGATCGAGTCAACATGTCAACTCCCGACTTTGCCATATCATCAAAATTCAAAACCGGTAAATTAGTTTCATATACATCTAGTTTCACCCTATTCTCTACAACTTAACCTCCTAACCTGTCACCTATGAACCTGAGACTCCAAACTTACGAGGAAACTCGTAAAAAGTCCAAGATCCGATCCATCATATGAGTTGGGCATGGCTTTGGTGAGCTGGGTGAGTGGGTTCTTAATTGGACAAACGACTTGTCGCGACCTCATTTGAATCGCTAACTCGTAGTCGTAGGTGAAATAACAACATATCAAGTGGAAGTGTGGAACGACTCGACATGACTCTTTTTATTAGAAACCATTCATTTGGTTGGTTTCTTATATGAGGATGTCAGTTTAGTGACCATAGTATCACAACCTACATGCTTTAGTGACCATATATCCAAAAGCGGAGAACGATTGGCACCATCGCCCTTTTGCTTGTCTTATTGGGAGGAATTGGGCACCCATCACACTAATTCTCATTCCTTTGGATTGTTCCTATTGGAAGTTTTTCAATGTTTCTTATACCAAATGCAAAGAATGATAAGATTGTATAATATCCTGGCAGAGTTACCCAACAGTATATGCAGAAGACTTGAAAGAGATGGAAAGAACTCATAGTATGGCCAAAGTAGCTGGATTGTGGGACAAAGTGGAAGACAAAGATGTGGAAGAGACCAAAAACCTGTGGGACAAGGTTTTTGACCAACCTTATGAGAAGGCTGGTGGAGCCATAAATGGGTTAGTGAAGCAGCCACCAGTTTATTGGGAAGTCTCAGATTCTGATGTCAACACCAAGTACAAGTCCCTCATGCCAAGGTTCCTCCTTGAGGTAAATTAAACTTAATTTTTTTTCCTGAATGTCCAAATTAATCTTTATAATCTCATGTGTGGTAGTTGTTATGATCTCGTTAACACCACCATTAAGTTATTTTCTTCGAATTCTCTACACGGAGAACGCCATGGAAAGATACACAAGGTAGTCAAAATTGCAAGATTTTATGTGATTTTTATGATCTATATGAGAATTCCAATTACACCAGATGGGAGAGTTTAAAGGTCTTAGGAGTTGGATCAAATCCTGTCATAAAAATAAAAAATGATAGTATTGAATCTTGATGTTCTTGATATGATAGAGGGTAAAGGTGATCAAAATCGTAAAATTTTACGTGCACGATTAAATAAATTTTATGCCTTTAGAATTGTAAAATAATAAGATTTGATTATCTAAATTGTGAAATAACCATGCTAAGTTGCTAACAAAGCGAGTTTGAGATCTTAAATTTCTTCCTTCTTGTTTCCTAGATCAGTACTAGCATATTACTCCCCGGTTGGCTGGATATGGGTATTTCATAAGTATACCTAAGCATTGTCTCATCTTTCCCCTAATTTCAAAAATAGAATTACAGATACTTCCTTCTTCATGTGAACCCTAATAACAAACAAAGCATGCCTTACCTCCTCCCTTTCACTCCTCGACGACCCTGCGCCTGTTCCTTGCTCTCCATCCATCGCCACCGGTTGCTCCTCCCTTTTCAAACACATTCGAAACTATCAGGAGGGAACAAAAATCGGTCCACTGTCAAGGTGGAGGGAAATCCAAGCAAGACTACTGTGAACGGGGCAGGACCAAAGCTGATCAAACTGACTGATATTTTCCAACTCAAATGGATGAAATTACCATGATGACATGTGCATGCACATGGTCGTAGCCACTATGTCAATCAAATTTTACTATTATTTCCGTGGCCATGGCAGGAGTGTGTTTTATCAAAATTTTAGTTTATCAAATAAATAAGCTATCACCGTCACCGCATAGCCCGTTCTATTATAATGTTTGTACTTTTCCATTGTACTACTGAAATAAAGGTTTGATTAGTTTTTTTTTTATTATCCAAGAACTTTCGTCCTACGTCAATTTGTGACAGCGGGGCCTACTAAATTTTGGGGCCACCTCATATCTCTGGGAACACCAATAGGCCTCGCTTGGATCGTACTTAGAATTTACAACTCCCTAACCTTCACTGTTGCAGCTGCTTACCGTTAGGCTATCTTACCTTTGGTAAGATTTGATTAGTTGAAATTAGATTTTGTCCAAAATACCCCTCCGCAAATTAGGGGATGGTTCTCGGTTGTTGAGTTGGCAAAACTCCAGTTTACTCTCCTGTATGTATATATGTTTTGATTTTGATTTGATTTGATTTGATTTGATATGAACATTATGAATCTTCTCTTCATAATTTTTTTCTTTGAAGAAAACATATCTCTACGTTGCATCACTCTGTGTTGTTCTTTTCTTCCACCCCAAATAACAGGCCTGTGTTTTTGTGAGGCTCAGCTCCAGCTCATCTCACCTTAACAAAACAAAAGACGCCACGACAAGCCACAACTTCCTACGCATGACGATGATGAGGTGCCACAAGGAGCTGAGAATAGATGCTTCAGGATCCAGTTTCCCCCACGATTCGTGGAGGAAATTGGGGCCCTCATTGTACTGCGAGTTTGCCACTAAAGGTCTCGTCCTCGAGCTCCGTAGAAGAGGAGGAATGTATTTCAAGACGAGTAAAGCTGTCGATACAGTCACATTTCCATGGAACGATATGCTAAGGGCTCCATCACTTACTTTGGAGAGGTATATGGGCAATGAACTCAGGGTTGTGGCCTCAATGACGCCACCAGTCCAAGCTCCATACCTCTTAAAATGTGTTCCCGATCGAGTTACCGATGACTCCGGGGCAATGATCTCGGATGTGATCCTCAGGATGAACAATTACAAGCCTCAAGAAGGCAGGTGGCTCTCCAGGACCGTTCTTGATCATGCCGGGAGGGAATGCTTCGTTGTGAGAATGAGGTAAGTCGTCGTAAAATCGTACCATACACAGCTAATGGTTCAACATCTACTACTCGAGTGTGATTGAAAAAATCATGATTCAACATTTATTTCTTTTTTTCTGTAGAGTGGGAGGAGGGTTTTGGAGGCGAGGAGGGGAGACACCTTCCAACGTGAAATGGGAAGACAGGATCATTGAAGTACGTGAAGGCTCTTGGTCTTATGTTGCTGGTTCCATCGGTAGAGCACCTGGTATGTGATTCGTGAATGTATACAACCAAATTCACTATATGAAATTTGGTAGAGACAAGTTTGTGGATAAGAAAAAGAAGCTGTTTGATCCAGGAACATTAATTGGGCAGTTGTGTGTTTTGTTTATGATCTAGTACAGAGAAATTAGTTGCAACAGCGACACCCAAGGAACCTCCAGAGGGTTGGGAATCGGCTTGGCATTTCTCAACGGGGGATGAGCTTCTCATCGCCTCCGGATTGTCATCTTCATCGTCATCAATCGGTGGCATTAGGTTTCGCTTCTCGAATCAATCATCTCCTGACTCATCGCCATCATCATCATCATCATCATCGGTAAGTTAATTCCTTTCCTTCATTCTTTAACATCTTCCACCAACTCGAATTTTTCGGACCAAGTGGTCTATTCAAAATGGTTCTTGACACTAGAACTTCCTACAAACTCTGTTCAGGTGAGACTGCTGATAGGCAGGCAAATGCAATATCGGGCGAGTACCAGCCAAGACGAAGAAGAAGCCCTGGAATCGGGTTTCCTCACATTGGTTCGGTACTCGGAGGACGACCCAACGGGGAGAGCTACGGCTCTACTCAACTGGAAGCTCATGATCATGGAGTCGTTGCCCGAAGAAGATGCAGTATTGGTCCTCTTGCTCTGCATAGCCATCTTGAGGAGTGTGTCTGAGATCAGGAAGGAAGACGTTGGGAAGTTGTTGATCAGAAGGAGAGTGAAAGAAGCCAAATTGGGTACTCGAGACTGGGGTTCGGTCATGGTTGATGGTCGTGATGGTTCGGTCGGTTCGGTTCACCTCCAGCCGTGGTATTGGAGTGACAATGCCAAAGCTGTTGTTGAAGGTGGTGAGGAGAGTAGTAGTAGCAGTGTTGGAAGGCAGCCGGTTCTGAGTTACTCGCTGGTGGAAGGTGGGGATAAGTTGTATAAGAGAGGGATCATAAGCTAATAGAGATTAGACTAGGAAAGATGATTGAGATGAGTCATTGAGTTGGTTGGTTGGTTTACCGAGATTCGAACACAAGACACGAGATTTCTGACTTGCCTTTTACGTTCAGTTTATGGTTCGGGTGTTACATCATTAGTCCGCATGGTGAAAGGATTGGAAGTTCTTAGGCCGGTAAGCCCTTTTGGTTTATTTGGATGTTGGTCTGTAGCACACGTGGTCGGGCCCAAATTAACTATGCTCATGAAGTGGCTTAAAAACTTACATCTATTCAACGGAAAAAAAAACTTACATCTGGAAAAAATTGAATAAAAAGTAGTGTGTGTTGCACACTGAATGTCCGATCAGAAAAATTATCTATAGAAAATTTTAGATCGGTAGAAAATTATATCGATATAAGACGATTAAACCATGATTTAACTAAAAAACATTATATCCTATCTGTACGATGTCAGTGTTTACCATCTTTGATAAAAGATGAGAATATTAGGTGTGTTTGGTACCGTACGACCATCAGTCCCACCACAAAGGACAGCATCGTCATTGGAAAGTAATAACGAAAAAGGGGCCTTTGATCGAATGTGTTCATATCTTTTGGTGCAATTTTAATTATCGGGTCAAGATTGTGAATAACTTTCACAATTAAGCAAGGAGAAGGGCTTGCTATAGCTCGAACACCAAGCAAGCAACAACATACAAACACTACTGATCCGTTTTCATTTAATTTTCCTGTGACATTGTGTCAATGACATGTCACATAAACATTGACCTAGTTCCATTACTTTTGACTTGTTGTTTATCTTAAAAATCTAAACATTGCCACTTTAAACATCTAGGACAATCAAGAATCAATATCAACAATATATGTTGTCGTGTTGGCCCCTAATGTCAATATAAACAAGGTAAAAATCACTACTATAGGAGCTTTTGATGAAAGATAACACTACATCAATAAGACAACAACATCTTCTATGAATATTGTAGTATAGACAAAGAAGGGTATCCTGATCTCATATGTATAAGTGTGTCTCTTCACTTTTGATGGTGTTTTCTGAAATTGTGGAAAGAACTTTGGTAATAGTTGACCAACTGCGGGAATCTCCAAGAAGCCAAGATCTCTTATCTACTTGGATTGAACCAATCCTTTGTCGGAGGCGAAGTCCTAGATAAAACAAAATGAGACTAGTGAATTCTCGGTCAAGTAGCTTATTGAAAAATAAGGTTGTCAGAGGTTTTGTTTGGAGGTCTAGTGAAGGGAAGAGGAAGACTCACTTGTTTTCTTGGGAGAGCATCTGCAAACCTAAGAAACTAGGTGGTCTAGGCTTAAAATCAGCTAGACAAATGATTATGGCTTATATGATCAAGCTAGGGTGGAACATGCTTAACAAAGAATCTGATCTTTGGGTTCAATTTTACAAGGAAAATACTTCAGCAACACAGTTGGGACATCCTCTCCATGAAAAGAGCAACCAATCCAACTTATGTAAGGCCATTGTGAAAGGAATGAACATTATGAAATATGCCACTTGCTGGAGCATCAGAAATGGCCAAGCAACCAAGTTCTAACTCAACCATGGATTGATAGTGATATCATCCTGGAGGATCATGCCCTTACTGACATTCATGAGGAGGACAAGGAATCAGTGGTTGCTGAATGGACCACAAAAAAAGTTGAGTGAGATTGGGATAAATTAAGACTAGTCATTCCTGATGAAATTCTATCGATTATTGTAGGTATGGGGGCTCTCGGCCTTGAGCTAGGCGAGGAAAACACCATTTGGGGACTAGAGAAAGATGACAGGTTCAGTGTGAGATCAGCTTACAAGCTTGCAGCAAAGGAGGACGATAAGGAAGCTGACAGATGCTGGAAATGGAAGGGGCCAAGTAGAATCAAACACTTTCTGTGGGTTGTTGCACGTCAGACTGTTAACCAACAAGGAGAGGACCATAAGAAAGATAACAACAAACAACTACTGCAACTTCTGCAAAAATAAAGAAGTGACTATTGAGCACATTGTTAGAAGTTCTAGCAAAGCCAGAAGCGTTTGGGAGAAGCTTCATAGCAAAGTTGATGCCAACCACATGAGACTCCCACTAAATGAATGGCATAACTCCAACCTTGGACAAGATGAAACTGCTGTCGATTTTGGCATTATCGTTTGGCACCTCTGGAAACAGAGAAATGAAGAGGTCATGAAGGGATGAGCATTCTCAAAGAATGGTTTGATTGCAAGTATCCAAGCTTGGTTTAACATTGTTGGGTAGGCACACCAGAATGTCCAGAAAACTACCAATGCGAAGACATCTACAGACCACAACAGATTGATTGGATGGGAACCACCTAGAGAAGGATGGATCCAATTACAATATGATGGATTCGTTCTCATCCAGATAGGAGCATTCATCTGCAACTTCGGCTCCTTCTCCATCACTGTTGTTGAATTTAAAGGCGCGATGGAAGGCTTGAAAGATTGTTTGGAAAGAAGCTTACCGCAACATACAACTCAACCTTGACTCTGTCACGACTATCGAAATTATCAAGCAACGCCACATGGATGATCACCATCATGGAAGCTTAGCGAAACAGTTTAACTACATTTTGAATCTTGACTGGGAAGTCACTATATCCTATGTATATAGGGAAGCTAACTTTACCACCGATTACTTGGTGAGTAAGGCTCATGATTATGATTTTAGTACACATCCCTTCAATGTGTGCGACAAAGATCTTGTCAAATGGATCCCTATAATGTAATTGGAGTTTTCCGTGAACGTTTTTTATCTAGTGTGACTTAGGCGCATTGCGTCTACCTTGCTTAAAAAAGGTTGTAAGAGAAACAAGGAACTAGCAACACATTTGTGAGAAGAATCCCACAAATCAAGTCCACTATTCCTATAAGAGTTGGGGGAGTTTGTTCTCCACTAGGTAGTAGTGGTGTAGCCAGGATTTTATTCATGGGGTGCCGTAAAAAAATTATAAATGCGGTCTCATGTTTCATATTGTGAAATTATTCTATAACTATATGAATCGGCCAAACCATCAAATTTCACACTTAATATATCCCACCAAATAACCATTCACAATATCAGTTCACTAGATGCGAAGGTTGGTCAATGCTTTTGTTGCATTAAATATTATTAACTTGTGCATTGACAATTGGAAATAGCAAATCAAATCTATTTTCACAAGCAAATACATTGATGAAAACTAATTTTCTCTTTCGACTATCGTCATAAAAAAAGTTAATGATTTCCTATAATAATATGCACCTCTTTCTTATCAAAATAATATGTATATCTCTTATCTTGATAAATCATAATGTATTAATGTAGAAATTAGTAGATGAAATATATTAATATAGTTTATCTTGGTTTAACAATAGAAGATTTGATGATTGACATTGAAATTTAAGATTTAAATATCATTATTAACTACCTAATACAACTAATATTTGAGTTTTTCTCCAAATCTAAGGGGGTGTCATGGAACCCCCTTATCATACTCTAGCTCCGCCCCTGCTAGGTAGCATGACAATAATTCCCTGAACATGCCAACATCTCAAGAAAAAAATTGATCTCACAAGAATGTGGTCATTAGGTCTAGTATCTGGGACCCAAAGACCCTTGCCATACACATTTACAGAGAAGGAGCGGCCAAAATATATCACTCATGGCGGACTGGAATGTCGAGGGCGCGTTACACAACCCGAAGGGCATCACCACATACTCGTAGTGCTCATTGTGCTTCTGAAAAGAAATCTTAGGGATATCCTCCTTGCTTATACGAATCTGGTGATATCCAGCGCGAAGATCGAGTATAGTGAAGTGCTTGGCACCATGGAGTTCGTTGAGCATGTCGTCCACCGTCTGAATCAGAAACCTGTCCTTTACCGTGACTTGATTCAAGGCACGAAAATCCGTACAGAATCGCCACGTGTCATCCTTCCTTTTGACGAGGAGAACCGGCGACGAGAAAGGGCTAGAGCTCGGTTGGATGAGCCCTATGCGTAGCATCCCCTCTACTTGTCTCTCGATTTCTTCCTTTTGCAAATGGGCGTATTGATAGGATATTAAATTGACTGCCTCGGTGCCATCCTTGAGGGGAATGCGATGGTCAACGGGTCATCGCGGTGGGAGCTGGGTTGGTGTCTCGAAGAGGCTTTCAAATCGATCGAGTAACCCCTAGAGCTCCTTTGAAGCCGTACGCACGGAATTCTCTGATTCGGGGACGCAGATAGCCCATAGGGCTACGTCGCATGATCGAAGACGATGCAACTGATCATCCTTCTCGATGGTCTTTCGAATTCAATGTAGCTCAACTCACCACTCACCGTTCAAGAACTTTAACATGAGGCGATCCCAATCGATCGTCACTGGTCCCAAATGTCGGAGCCAGCGAATGCCTAGCACGACGTCGAGGCCCTTGATGGGTAGCTCGTACAGGTCCACTGTCATGGGCTTTCCCTGAATGATTGTCTCCATGTTCTCGTAACAACGACACAAAGAAGTACGTTCCCGTTAGCGACCTTGACCATAAACGGTGGAATAAGAGTGTAGGGGAGCGATGATGCCCTAGCTTTCTCACAATTGATAAAGTTGTGAGATGATCCGCTATTGATTAGCGCCACCAGCGCCTCCTGTTGTAGTCGTATGGCAAACCAAAGAGTTCTCGAATGTGAAACGTGGTTAGGGAAAATAGGGAACTTCCCCGTCGGCCTGCTCGTAATCAGGATCAGGGGGTCGCCCTCGTCGTGGTTCGGCGCCGATGGTGTGATTGTTGACATCCGTGGAGCCGTCATTCTGTTCGTTGTGTGGCTCTGGGAACTGGGTCGAGCTCGACTCCATCAAACCGGGCTCTGATACCAATTGATGCATGAGCGTCGAGAAAGAGAAAGAGAGACAAGAGAGGGACTAGGGTTTAGGGGTTTTCTTCTTCTACTTCTCTTATTCCACAATAACCAAATGTATAGTAGTCCTTACAATCCGACGTACGAAACAAACAAACAAATGAATTAAACCAAAATGGGTCGAGACGCGGCCCATGAAACATGCAGATCACTCGTGGTACTTCGGGTTGGGACTTGGCTAGCAAGAGGAACGGCGTGGAACCGCCATGTACGCATCAATCTTTTGATATTTTTCAAATTACATAAATATTTCACGTTTACCACCCAAATTACTTTTCTTTCTAATTCACCACTAACTTTACTAATCATTTCACCGTTAGGGATGTTAGCGGTGCGGTTTCGGTTTTAACCGAACCGCCAACGCGGTTAACCGCAGCCGACAATCATCCAAAAACCCCAACCGCCACCGACACTGATTGCCTTGTC